CCCTTAGGTGAGAAGAGCGTGGGAGCTCCGAAGTGAGAACCGGTATCCTCTCAGCCTAGCCGCAGATTCAGTAAACAAGCATAGGATTAGTCAATATTCTTTGTCTGGACCAAAGGGTAAAGAATAGGTATGCTCCTATTTGGCACAATATAAATTAAACTAATTCATTTTATCCATTCACTATAATTTCTTGATAAGGAGGATGATATTCTTATATATTGAATATCACAATTAAACCCTACTTTATTTCATTAGTTATTTATTAGTTATTAAAATTATTTATTTATTTCAATTGTCTATTAGTGACAGATAAGCAAATTAAACGTCGTTGTTGTGATTAAAGTATTGTTTTTCTAAGGTCTTAGTCCGTAATTCTAAACTACTCTCTGTGGGATCGATATCTAGGACTCCATTAAAGTCCTATATTACTTGAGCGATACGTATATTTGCGTTGATAAGTGTGACTTTATAATTATTGAATATTTAATACGTCCATATTTATCTTATATTTTAAGCAGATATAAAGTCGCTGTCACTTATTCTAGCTTGATGTCAAGAATTCATTCCTAAATGGCGATCTTACAAAGGAGGTATACATGGTTGGGTTCATCCATGATCGACGTTCTACCTTAAGTTACTGTTCATTTGTGTGGGGGTAATCTGGCCACATGGAAAAGCAAGAAGCAATTTGTAGTTGGTCGGAGTAGTGCAGAAGCTGAATTTCAGTCCATATCCCTTGGAATTTGTGAAGCTATCGGGTTACGCGTCATGCTCCACAAACTACGTATGATAGTCTCCGCTATTTCACAATCGTTCTGTGACAACAAGACTGTAATTAGTATTGCTCACAACCCGGTCCAGCATGATCGCACCAAGCATGTTGAGATTGATCGTCACTTCATTAAGGAAAAAATCGAGTCTGGGGAAATTTGTATATTATTTGTGTCATTTAGTGACTAGCTTACAGATATTCTCACAAAGAATCTTCCTCGACACTGCTCAATAATACACGATACTTCAACTTGAGGGGGGGTATTAGAATATTAGAATATTAGAATATTAATATGCAGATTTCTTGCTTTTATTTACTTTTCTTTTTCCATTTATTTTGTTTTTATTTATTTCTTTACTAGTTGATCCTGTAATGGGTATTTATACCCCTCTTTGCATCTTTGCATCAATAAGATTTACTTGGGTTCTATTCTAACAGGTGGCATAGAATATTAATAGATCAATACAGATCATACAGTGTTCTTTCGACAACATGAAGGTCATACCACTATAATGATGACATCATTGTCATTGATAATAATGCGGCAGAGATTGTCCAACTAAAGGTAAGATTGAGCAATGAATTGAAGGTAAAGGATCTTGGACAGCTTAGATATTTTCTTGGGTTTGAATTGGCCCGTGGACCTGAGGGGATGGTCTTGTCTCGGAGAAAGTATGTACTAGATCTTCTCACAAAAACATACATGTTGGGGTATAAACGTATAGTCTCTTCAATTGGTCAAAAGGCGCCAAACTGAGTCTAGAGGCAGAATAATTGTTTGATTGTGAGAGGTACTAGAGATTGGTGTGTCATCTAATCTATTTGTGTCACACTCGACCCCACATCTCTTTTGCAGTGAGTGTGGTAAGCCGATACATGCATGATCCAAGGATGGGTCATATGGATGCACTTTATCAAATTTTTAGATACCTGATGAGTGCACCAGAGAAGGGGTTGATCTTTAGGAAGAATGGACTTATTGACATTGAGAGATTTTGTGTCGCTGACTGCGCGAGTTGTGCAAATGGTGCAACATGATTGAACCAAATATGTGGATATTGATAGATTCTTCATCAAGGGAAAGCTGAATAACAGACTACTGGAGTTAATTCATGTAGCCACGGGAAAGCAAGTGGCTGACTGTCTCACTAAAGGACTTAGTTCGTTAGATTTTTCTAGGTTATGTGACAAGACGGGCTTAGTGGATATCTTTTGTCCAGTTTGAGGGGGAGTGTTAAGAATTGGGCCTTATTGAGGGTCCTATTCGTAAAAAAGGAATATTGAAGAAGTCTAAAGGTTTATTTGTAAAACATTGTAATATCCTATTTAAGCCCATGTTATGAATGTACAGATAAGATTTTTGAACAATTTCTTCTATTGTACGTTACCACAGACATGATATAGAATGATCATGTAAGCATTTGATTAGTCACTTTCATTATACAGTTCTTTGGTAGATGTTTAATATGGCACATTTGCACGGACCCGCGTCAAAATGGAACTACTTCATATCCTCAAACTGTGTCGAACTACTTTATTACTAGTTATGGTTCTATTTACCTCTGTTCTAAGATTATTTATTGAATGCAACTTTAGCTCGTTTGAAAGAAACTGTTTCCAATGCTCCACAAATTATATTTTTCTAGTAAACGGCTTGTGCAGGCTAGCATTACTCCTAATTTGCTGTACTCGGTCTTACTTACAGGTGTACTTTACTAATTTGGTCTATGCAAAGTTGTTTTTTGCTGGGACAGAACTCGCCTTAATATTTAATCAGGTATGATTTCTTTCTCATGTGTAATATTTAAAAATTAAATATATATATATCTATTATCCCTGAAAAGAACCATTATGGTCTGTATTTTGAATACTTGATCGGATAATCTAACTTTAAGATTTTGATCTTCAGTTAGTCGTCTATTTTGAAAGATGCAATTTGATGAGAGGATATGAACATTACATCTGCATGTTTAATCTTTCAACATAATTGAACGCATAATACCTAGCACCTCGAGAAATTAATTTGATCATCTAGAAAACTTATCTGAACGGCTTGTATTTTTTGGCTGTTAAATAATACATTAATATGACTGATAAATATCCAATTCTTACAACTTCAACCTGTCTCAGTACCACACAATACTTGGGAAAAGCAGGCCTGTGCAGAAGAGAATTCTTTTAGTTTTCACTCTCTTTTGATAACAAAATTTGAAACCTTCGAGTGAGATATAATGTTTATTATATTAGTTGACACGGCTGTGATTTTCCCCAGGCGAGCAGCCTGTGGAAGGAAATTTCGTTGGTTGGTTCATAGCCCACCTGGTTCAGTGTTCCCGCCGACAATAGGAACGGCTAGACCTTTAGTGCTCCTATATGCCTTTTTAGGGATTAGAATTAGGGTTATTATTTCTTCCATAGCATAAATATATGGGCATAAAACCTGTTATTGGACTTCTGGCTTGGTTTTATATTATTGAAGTTTTTTTTGTCTGATTTTCCCTCTCTTTTAGAGTGCTGTAGCTTTCTCTCTCAAGCAGTGTGCATGCATCTTGATTGAGTATAGGTGGTAGATCAGCTCAGCATTCACGTACCTCATTTCTTCTAGCTGTTGGTCTTCTTTTCTTCACTATTTTCTCCAAACAGCTGCTGCTGCCCCTTGATACATCCAATGCATTTGTTTTCAACATCTCATAAGTGTCTCAACTCCATTAATTTTTAGACATCATCTAGAAAACACTAGATTCGTTCCATTTGATATCAGAACCATAAAACATTAAATCTTTAAAGATTCATTAATTTCAATTCCAACCCCTAAATCCACATAATCTATTACATCATCCTGCACAAATAACCACTCCCACCCTAAACCTAGCACCTATTCTTTAAAGATTCATTAATTTCAATTTCAAACTTCAAATTTTTATGTTTTAAGGATAATTGTTGTGTTTACAAACATGGTTTTTTTGTTTTGGTGTTATGATGTCGTGGCGGCGTGAAGCGTTGGGTCAAGCCGCGACGTTGCCGCCTCCTTCCTTTGGTCGCGACTCAACCCAGTACCGCACGCCGACACGATGTTGCAGTCTCCTCCTTCCTTCGGTTGCGGCTCCACCCATGACCACACACATCTTCTTCTTCCTCCGCACGTACACGAGCACAACGTTGAAGTTGTTTGGCCCCTTTTCTTCCTCCTCTTCAGTTGCGGCTCAATACAACACCCACATGCACGACACCGCCGCTTCTTTCTTGTGCACACTGGCACGACACAACCTCCTCAACTAAGGCTCCACTCATCTTCCTCTACTGTTTAGCAAGGTAGCAACACACAAAATCGCAATTTCCTCATCTTTCTCTTTCTGGTCACGTTGTAACGTGCACATCTTCTATGATTGGTAAGAGATCCAAGTGAGAAATGGGATTGCGACCATATACCACTTAAAGGAGACTGGACGTGGAGGTTTGATTGCGAGAACTATTGTAAGCTAACTTTAATTGTGATAATAAAAGATCCCATTGTTGTATATTTTTTCCCACATAACATCTCAACAAATTCCACAAGCTTTGGTTAACACATTCGGTTTGACTATCTATTTGAGGATGGGTTGCTAAACTAAATTGTAATTTAGCTCCTAACCTTCTCTACGAGGTCTCCATAAGTGACTTATGAACTTCATATCTCAATTAGAGATAATAGTGCAAGCTACTCCATGAAAACGTACTACATCTTTGAAGTACAGGTCGACAATATAAGGTGTATCCAATTTTTTTCTGCAAGGAATAAAATGTACTATTTCCAAAACCGTTCCACCATCACCATAATATAATCTTTGTTCTGTTGGGTTCGTGGCAAATCCACAACAAAATCTATGCTCACATAAAACTAAGGAGCTTAGGGATTTGATAATCATAAATACAATCCCAAATTCTCAAAGTTTAGGTTTTTGCCCCCTTGCACACTAGTCATCTCTTTTCTATTTTAATTGGATTACAATTACATCAGGAATTTTCTTTTAAGCCCATATCTTTTTGCTTTAGTTATGGATTCTCTTACTGGACATTCACAAGTGGATGTATCTTGGTGTATGGCTTTCACTGATGATATCCTTCTCGTGGATAAGATTAGAGAAAAAAACTCAAGAAAAAACTCAAGAAAAAAACTCAAGAAAAACTTGAATTATGGAGGTCTAAAGGCTTTCGTTTGAGTAGAACTAAAATTGAATACATGGAATGTAATTTTAGTAGTAGCTCTAGTGATAGAGCTGTAATTATGAGTGTCAAATTATTAGAAGGTGTGAATGCTTTATATATCTTGGGTTCAGTGTTCAAAGTGATGGTAATATAGATAGGGATGTTATTAGTAGAATTCAAGTTGGTTGGTTGAAGTGGAGGAATGCTTTGGGCTTATTGTGTGATAGAAAAGTACCACTTAGATTGAAGGAAAATTTTATAAATGGTGGTGAGACCTGCAATGCTTTATGCAATTGAATGTTGGCCTTTAAAAGCGAAGCATAAAACTAAGTCAATTGTTGTCGAGATGAGAATGCTTAGGTGGATGAGTGGCTTTATACTTAGAGACAAAATGTGAAATAAATATATCTGTGATAGGGTTGGTGTAGCTCCAGTGACGGACAAAGATGGTTTGCTCCAGTGATGGACAAAGGTGGCTGATTCATCTTAGATGGTTTGCTCACATTAAACGTCGATTATCTGATTATCTGATTGGGAGAGTAGATGTTTTAGATTCAACTTATGTTAAGAAAGGCAGAGGTAGACCTTGAAAGACTTGGGCATATTTTATAAAAAAATGATGATTTATTAGAATTAAATGAAAATATGACACTCTATGTGATGCAATGAAGAAAAAGGATTAATGTAGCTGACCCCACTTAATGGGACAAAGGTTTATTGTTGTTGTTGCCCATTTGACATCTCTTCACATATCGTTCCACAACTGCCTGAATATAAGACCAATTGAATGTCTTGTAGAAGGGCTAAAGTCTTGTGCCTTTCAAAGCGACCGGTTAAACCCCCATCATGGCATTTGGCTAACAAGGCTTCCCTCAAAGAACGTCGTGGTGCACACAAACAAGCTCCAAAGAAGAAACCTTCCTTGATATGGAAACATGTGATGATATCCTTGCAAGCAATTCTTTCAAATTTCTTGTAAGTCACCATCTCATTCATAAAGCTCCTTGCATATGTCAATATTCACCTCTTTGGCTTAAGGATAGCTACCACTTGATACCTGTGGCTAAGAGCATCGACCACTTGATTTGTAACACATACTTATACTTTAGGGATGAAATGAAAGGATGAATGAAATTCCATCAAAGTGGATGAGGTTCTTTTAGCTTGTTTTGGCCTTGAACATATTTCGAAGCTTCATGATTTGTAAAACGAACGAATTTCGTAAGCCAATAAGTAATGACTCCAAGGTTGGAGAGCCCTTTTAATTTATTGCCTTGACCTTTCTCAGATGCATCTCCATGCACTTGGTTACAATAAAAAACCTAAGGAAATTAATAGTAGCCACCATAAATTTACAACTTTTTGTTTACAAACAGCCGATGCATTTGTAGAACATCAAAAACCTTATATAGATATTGTAGGTGCTCAATTAGATTTTTCTTATAGATAAGTATGTCATCAAAGTATAGTATTACAAATTTTCCTAAGAAATGTTGAAACATCTAGTTCATCAAGTTCTTGAAGGTACTTGGTGCATTGGAAAGCCCAAACATTATAACAGTCTATTTATACAACCCATCAGCATCTTAAACGTTGTTTTCCATTCATCTCAAGGCTGCTTTCTTATTTGGTGGTATCCACTTCTCATGTCCACCTTCGAAAACACTAGACCCTTTTAATTGATCTAAAAGGCCATCTAGATGGGGTATCGGAAAGCGATACTTAATAGTTATGTTCGCTACTCAGCTATCGACTACATTGAAGGTAGTAGAAATATTATAATCTTCCGATAAGTCAACCTTGTAGGCATTATCATGCAACTTCTTGAGGATACTGGAAAGTCCATTTGTCTGGGTTTGAGTTTCTCAAAAGATCCCATGGGAAATCTTTCTTTTATCAATCTAATCCACACTAAATATCCCTCCTGAAAAGTCACATTCTTTTCTGGTTTTATTAGCTTGTGTTTGGTACTTTTAGTTCTACTTGGTGATCTCTTTCCCAACCTCTTCATGTAGCCTTTGAATCTTCTGTACTCTCACTAAGAATCTATATTAACCTCTGAAGTAGGAAGAAATGATACAACTCAAGTGTAGTGAGTGGACTGCGTCCATATAAAATATCAAAGAAGCTTGCACTGTAATCTGACTCATGGGCCTATTGTAGGCAAATTCGGCTTGAGCTAGAATCAAATCACATCGCTTGATTTTCTTTCCTATAAAATACCTTAGGAGATTCCCCAAACTTTTGTTCACAAACTCTGTCTGACCATCTATCTGTGGATGAGTTGCTGAGCTGAATTGAAGCTTAGTACCAAGCTTCTTCCATGAGGTTTTCCAGAAGTGACTCAGGAATTTGGTATCTCTATCCACAGTAATGGTCCTTGGTATCTAGTGCATTCTTAATATCTCACTAAAATACAGGTCAGTTATGAATGATGCATCCAGTGTCTTGTGGCAAGATACAAAATGATCTTCAAGTGTCAACCACTACCATCATTAAATCCTTATTCCATTGTCCTAGAAAGACCCACAACAAAATCCATACTAACATCCACCTTTGGAGACCTGGTATGGGTAATGATGTGTATGGTTTTGTATTTTGTCATCTGGTTTTTGCCAGATGACAAACTCTGCACTGTTGGATGCAAAGCTCCTCCACGCAGCCACAAGTTAGGACTGGAAACGACCCCACCTCCCTTCTTCCTTCTCCGATTTCTTCTGCTCTCAGTCACTTTCTTGTTCTCGCTCGTCCTCTGTAAGCTACAAACGAAAGGACCATGAGACACCCCCCTGACTTCCCTTAAACGAATTGTCTCGACGGTTATTCTATATATATATATATATATAGATTAAATTCAGTTATTACACTTAGAGGAAATCTTTCAATTTCGGTGGTTGTCCCAAAGAGAAACATGAAAAGCATTGCCCTAAAACACGACCATACAACATATATAGACCTAGGGAGACCTAGGGTAAATAAAGAGTGAACCCCACTCCTCATAGGCGGAATATCTCTGATTTGAAGGACCGGTCGGTCCCTCCTCTGCCTGAATCGAATTGGTTCAAGACGGGAGACACGACAATTGCTGCGCCTATGACGCCTCGATGCCTGCATCAGATGCCCATTATTGTTTAATTTTCATATGCTTTGATCTCCATCTTGAAATATTATGTCATCAACAGAACAAAAATAAAGGGATCATCATCAACTATAAATACATTTTCATAATTACTTATGAAGTAATTTTATCGTCAGTTCTTTACGAGAGGAAAGATTGAGAGATGCACATGAGTTCCACATCCTCGATTCCATTCAATTATTACCACTAAGAATCAGTGCATCTTGAATGTATGTACAACATTCACTGTTTCTTCATTTTTACTTTTGGCCTTGCTTCTACTTTCGTTATAATCTTTCATCATTTATTGTAGCTTTCCACAATGTGCTTTGATTTTTGTAAAGTTTATTGAAGCTTACTTCGATGAAAATTTTCTATTTACGTGAAAGTCTTGACTTTTAATTTGTCAAACCTATCTTTCTGTCTTCTACTGCTTAATCAAAAGCCCCAATATCAACTGTTAGGGCAATAGCAACTACCAAAATATGACGATGGAAGACATTATAAAGCAAATACAATTAACAGAAAGTTCTTTAGTTCCCTGATTTTTCACCTATACCTTTTACCAAATAAAGATCAAACAACCATCAAGTATCAAAGAGGGTGGCATTACTGAAACAAATGCATATAGTCTGGTGGGATCCCTAATAGCTAGCTATTGTTTTTAGGGCCATTTACATGCATACCACACAATTCTTATGTAAACTTTAATATTTACATTCATAGATATTTACATTCATAACAATCAGATGTTTAACATCATATCAAAAATACCTCTTTTATCAACTTTTTGAAGCCAAATGTACTTTTTCATGCTCAGGTTCATAGCACCAAGGTGTCGTAAATGTAAATAGCAAACTTTAGGTGGAAAAAATGTAAATTCACAAGAATTGTGTGGTATTTATGTAAATTTCTCTCCTTCTTCTCAACTTGCATATGCCGATCTTTTGCTGTTAATTTGAAGTTATATTCCAGCTTAGCTATTCCTTCTTAGTAGCCTAATTGCAGTATTTAAATTCACAAGAATTGTGTGGTATTTATGTAAATTCCTCTCCTTTTTATCAACTTGCATATGCTTTGCTGTTAATTTGAAGTTATATTTTAGCTTATCTATTCCTTCTTAGTAGCCTAATTGCAGTATCTTTCTTATTATTATTTTAAACTAAATTATTTGCAGGTTAAAGTCCTACTCTGCGGAGGTGTAGAGAGGTTGACTGTTTTGACTTCTTTTTGTTAACTCGAGAATTAGGTTCAATTCATTGATTGACTTTTCAAATCTCACTTTGACTAAATAAGAGTGTAATGTCTCAAATGAAGATGTGATCTTTGCGACTTGCATTTGCTGAGTTCCATTTAATATAGCTTTTAGTAATTTAAAATTTTAAAAAATTGATTTTTTTTTCATCAAAATCAAGTTAATCTGAAACTAGGCATGATGCATGTAGTATTGTGGTTATAGGGGTATATTGGTAAATCATTTTTTTCGGATTAGTTACTGTTTCTGATTGGTTAATAATATCTCTGTTTAATTCATTTTGGAATTTTACATTCATGCCATTTAGTTTCTATCAATTTATATATCATGGATGCAAAAGTGTATTCACGTTTTTATAAGCCATTCATGCCATTTAGTTTCTATCAATTTATATATCCAACATGTAAGCTTCAGATTTTATATGCTTATGGATGAAAAAGTGTATTCTCGTTTTTATAAGTTGTAAATATGTAAAATAAGGTTTTGGTGTCTGGCATGTAAATACATTCAGATTTGGTGGCATGGATGTAAATGCACCAATCATCTTTTATTTACCAGGAATGGTTGTTGTTTAGGTGCGCATTTTCTGTTCGGACTCCTGACGTAGTTCTACGTGCCCCATAGGTTATTCCTGAGTTATTTTCAGGTTATTTTTTGGTCATTTTCAATAGTCCTGAAATAGTCTGCTGTCTTTATTTTTGGGTTATTTTTAGGTTATTTTGGTATTTTTGAAAATAATTCAGAAATAACTTCAACCGCACGTAGAGCTATATCAGGAGTTCACACAGAAAAATTTTTAATTATGTAGAGCTTTTGATTAATATGCCAGCTCCTTGTAAATTAATTTTTCAATATTATTAATTTTATTTGTTGTATAAATATTTTATGAATTAAATTTGCAACTATTAAAAAAGAGCTTTTGATTAATATGCCAGCTCCTTGTAAATTAGTTTTTCAATATTATTAATTTTATTTGTTGTATAATATTTTATGAATTAAATTTGCAACTATTAAAAAAAAAAAAGTAAACTTCATTAACTAAAAAAAAACTGTAGTTAGAATTGAAAATAAAAACAATTTTTTTAATATTTAAATTAACAATCTCATTCTCATAAATCAATTTCATGATGGGTAGCATGGTAATTAGGCTATTTAGTCATATATAATTAGGCTAATAAATGATTATTAACAATTTGATATCTTATTAAAAATTTGAGCACTAATTATGAGAATTAGGCAGTTGTTCCAGTTAATTAGATGAACAAGTCAGTTGTTAACACGGTTCTAAATTAGTTGAATTAGTCAGATAACTCTGATCAATCAACTAATTAATTATTAGGATAATATGTTTTAAGGATCTTTTTTGTTTTATAATAAATTAATATCTAATTAATTATTTATTATTTTTAACTAAAATTTAAGTCGACTATTTTATTAGTTTAATTAGTCATTAATGGATGATTAGGATACTAACTAACAAATTAGTAAGAAGAACTTGATTTTGATGAAAAAAAATTCAAAACCAAAAGAACAAATAGAAAAGTCAAATCTAAACCAAAAAGCCATGGTCAAGGGGCCATTTGGTAGCCTGCATTACAGGTATAATGTAAATCAAATAGTGTAAGATTTTGAAGAACTTTAAATTCACTATTTACACACAAGTTGCCTCTGCTACGACTTCCGGTCGTTTCTACCATCGTCCGATGCCGGTATTACAATGATTTCATGTTATCATAAATCAAACACAAAAATATAATATCAAACTTTTATTTTACATCTAATCAAACAACTCTAAAGTATCTCAAATGCACTAGCAAACAATGAGATTCATCATTGCTTCCTCAAACATCGACCAACACGCCATAATTACAGAAGCAAAGGAAGCAGAAAGAGATCAGTTGTGTAGATTGATTGTTAAGTACTGATCTAAGGCAAATTATAACAGAGAAGAATTATCCACCTTTGTTTCAGAGCTCTGCATCAGTTAAGAAGGTGGTGCAGGTACAGATTTCCTTGATAATCTGCCCCATAGCATGATCTCTCCAAAGATGCAAGCTAACAAGATGATTGAGAGGTTAAAGCCATACCCAACCTTCCATGGTGTTCCTGCTTCTCCAATTCTGATGCCAAGAATAATATTGATTGCTGAAAAGAAGAGCAGAAGCCTGCCAACCCAATGGTGGTACCAATTCCAATACCTGCGGATCTTCGAGTCCTTGTCGGGGCGAACGAAAAATGCAAGGACCTGTGTTGTAGGCCATCAAGTTGAATAAGAAGCATGTTAAGCAGGTATACAAATAATAGAAGGTAAGGCCCTTTGCAGTCATTTGTAATATCTGAAGATGTGACTGGAAAGCATAAATGAAAATTTAAGTTATATATTATCTGTCTAGAGTAGTGGCGTGCATTATTTGGTCAAAACTAAAAAATTGAACCGAACTGAACAAGTTTAGTTTCAAAAATACATTTTGATTTTGGTTTTTTAAATCTCAATATCTGATGTTTGTCTTTTGGTTCGGCTTTAATTTTCATTTAACTGAAGAAATTGAATAATCAAAAGATTCAAAATTAAATGGAGGATTCATGTGAAATTAAATTAATATTATACATATAAGGTGTGTGATTCTTGATGTTTGTTCGTAACCGGACTCCAACTAAAACTAAATTTCAATTTGTTCATAACCGAACTATTTAAACCAAATTAACTTTTGGTTTGGATTTATTAAAATTTTGATTGATTTAGTTTTTCTTCGGATTTCGGATTTTGGTTGCAATAGATTTGACCAATGTGAAAACCGATCCATCCAAACCGACTGAATGCTCACCCTTAGTTTGGAAGAATATAGAACAAGTGGAGGGATGCAAGAGATAATATTTAAACAGGTTGAAGTCAGTTGTGAAGAAATGTAATAGAAAGCCATTTTTACAGACCTGAAGGATGCCGAGCACCAGTAGAAAGATGCCGATTCCTCGGTGAACTGTAACATTTGCATGTATTTTGTTGTACAGTGAGATTCCAGTAAGCACAGCAGCAAGCCCGAAGAGAAATCCAGCAAACTGGAAGGCTATATGAAGTTCAAACCAGGGGACATCCCAATCTCTACAATATCTTGCAATCATTGCACCGATAGGGAGTAGCACACCCCAGCCAATTATGGCTAATGCGCCATGGTTCCTTTTCAGTTTATAGGGATATGTGGAACCAGATGAAGAACCTGTAACACAAATTTGCACATTTAAAAGATAAGAAATGCTTTTGAATGCTGAAGTAGGACACAAATAAGCTGGTTTGCATGATAAGTATGAGCAAGTTTTGAACAGCATCAACAAATAGTACTTATCATATTGTGAATATAAACAGCTTGTATGTAAAAAACAATAATTTATATGAACTCGACACCCTTGACGGTGTCATAAATATGCCATCACATACAGGAGCGTATACAGCAAATGGTTGGGCACCAAGTAGCTACTTAGTATACAAATCTTGAGAGCGGAATGTCAAATATATAGGTCAAACATTAGTGTATACTTGAGATATTTTTCGGCAATATTCAGCATTACTTGCATCTACTGCTAGTACTGAGAGTGCCTATGCATCAAGATTAGAATGGTGATGAGGGATGGAAGATTGAGTTATATAAAGTCATTGCTAAACTCTACTAACTTACGCTCAATATTATCTAGATGTGCTTATATTAAGATAATTTTTATTCAATATATTAGTTTTTTTATAAATATATGTTTTTTTAATGAAATATTAGTATTATGAATTATGTCTTATTCGTAATATTGCTTCTGAATCAGTAAAATTACAGTTTTTTTTGTCATTGTGATGTCAATAGTTTAATTTTGTTGTTAACTTTGCTGTTAACTAAAATTCATAAAAGAGCCTATTTGGCATTAAAACTTTGCTGTTAACTTATAGAACACTGAAATATTTAACATCACATTAAAAAAAATAAGTAATTTTTAAAGGAAGATTTACATAAATACCACTTAATTCCATGTATTTACATATCTAACACCCTGAACGTTTACTTTTACATTTTATGTGATATGAACGATTTGAGTGGCATAAATGTAAAAAGTAAAGTTATGTCAATAGATAGAACTTGGGTTGTGGTATCTAAATGCCCCCATTTTTTAAGGAAACACACATTTTCATAGAAGTTTTTTGTTATGAGAGTAAAATGCGAAAATGAAGAAATTCATACAACAACAATCAAACACAAAAGATTTACGTGGTTCGACGTTAAGTTGATTCGCTTACGTCCACGAAGAGAAAGATTTCACTAGTACCAGATGCGAGAAAGAAAAAAACTAGGTGTTACAACTCGCACTTCTCACCATATATATCTCATAAGTCTTAAGTTCTTTTTATAGAGAAAAACTAGGGCATGCAAGTAAATAAAGCTAAAGGACAAAATTGCCCCTAATTAAATACAAGTCATAAATACAACAATCTTCGTCTCATATCTTACTTCCAGATAAGTAAGAGATGACCAAATGAGCTCCAAACTCCAATTCAGCTGCATCAAGATGGTTCTCTACATATCCCCCTCCCGAAAGTATCAAGTCTCGCGTAATTCTTCAAAAAGCCCGACTGGGCAATCAATCCTGAGCTCGGATTTTCACTAAACTTCTAAAATAGGTGATCTTTTGGACTGTTAATACCTTTGTGAGCATGTTCGTTGGATTCTCCTTTGTTTCTATCTTCTTCAACAAAATTTTCCAGCCATCAATCAAGTCATGAACACAGTGGTACCTCACATCAATGTGCTTGGTTCGAGCATGATAAACTGGATTTATGACCTAAAATATTACACTCTGACTATCAGAGAACACCATTAGAAACTTCTAATCAACTCTCAAGTCATCCAATAGGCACTGCATTCATATTGCTTCCTTCATCGCTTTCGTGATTGTCATATACTCAGTCTCCGTAGTAGACAAAACAACAATAGACTAAAGAACCGACCTCTAACTAATTGAACCTCCAGCCAATATGAATAAATATCTAGTCGTAGACCTTCGTCTAGACATATCAACTGCATAGTCTGAGTCAGTGTAGGATATACTCAGTCTCCGTAATAGACAAAACAACAATAGACTAAAGAACCAACTTAAAACTGATTGGACCTCCTGCCAATATGAATAAATATCTAGTCGTAAATCTCCATCTAGACATATCACCTACATAGTCCGAGTTAGTGTAGGATACATAAATCTGTAATAGACGACTGTCTCCCAAACACCAAGTCAACATCAATTGAACCCTTTAGATACTTTAGATAACTCTTAACAACTTGTCAATATTTTCTTCATGGATCATGCATGAACCTGTTCACTACACCAACTGTTTATGCAATATCTGGTCTAATACAAATCATGACACACATAGGACTGCCCACTACACTAGTATAATGAACCGATTGCATATATTTCCTTTCTTGGTTATCTTTAGAACACTGATATGAGGTCAACTGATAGTGAGATGCAATGGTACTCGTCGTCTTGCTCGAGTCATCAACCCCAAATTTCTTCAGCACTTTCCGAACATAAGCTCCTAGCAAAAGCCAAACCATTCAAGCTGCCTTTTCCATGAGAATCTCCATGCCAAGTATTATGCAAGTTTCACCCAACTTCTTCATTTCAAAATATTTGGACACTTGATTCTTCATCTTATCAATCTCAACCTGACTAGTAGATGCAATTTATATATCATCAATATATAGAAGCAAGTAAATAAACTGATCGTATGCCAACTTTTTGAAATATGCACAATGATCATACTGACTCTTCGTGTACTCATATCCCCTCATGAACTGATCATTTTTTTTTATACCACTGTCGTGGTGACTACTTGAACATATACAAAATAGGAATGCAACCTTCACATCGAGTTGTTCCAAGATCAAAATATATTGTGTTATAGATGCTAAGAGAACATGGATTGAAGAATGTTTGACCATTGAGGAGAACACTTCGTCATAACTAATCTCTTTTTGTTGCTCAAATTCCTCAACCACTAATCTTTCCTTGTTCCGCACATCAGCTCCATGAGATCCTTCCTTCTTTTCAAACACCGATTTGCACTCGATGGCTTTCCTTTCAAGAGAAAGCTTCACCAACCTTCAAGAATCATTCTTTTGAAGAAACTCTCTCTTCATCCATTGCCGCTCTCCAAAGGTCGTAGTCTGAGCTCGTCATCGGTGCTTTGTAATGAAAAAAAATTTCTACCTCTGTGACTGAAAGTGCAAATACAAAGCGATACATCGACCAAGCTGGTTTTGGGAGATTTTAGCATATGTTCTTCCTCCTAGATTTTTTTGGGGCTCTCATTCTCAACATCTTCTTCTACCTCCTTCTGATCAGTATCAACATATACCTCCTGAGTTGTAACGAAAACATGTATTTGAGTCGGAGTAGAAGAATTCTGTGGAACAAATGAAGTTGCATCAAACTCCAACTTCTGTTGCATATCTGCGGTTCCATTAAAACTCTCCACCTACTTTGAGTCCTGATTTTTCAACAAGCTTGCATTGCAGAATATAACTTCCTTGCTAATGACAACTTTCCTTTCTGATTGATTATACAACTCGAAGCTCTTGACTCCACATCTAAAGCCAATAAAGATTGTCGACTTCTTTGCTCATTGTTCCAGTTTATAATTTTGCACGTGGTAGTAAACTGGATAACCAAACACTCTCATGTGCTCATAATATCTACCAGGATGCCCTGACCACATCTTCTTTGGGTTCTTCTTCCTAATAGTTGCAGAAGGCAAATGGTTCACCAAGTGACATTCATAATATATGGCCTTGACCCAATAGACTCTATTTAACCCAACATTTGATAAAAAACACCGAACTTTCTCCACCAAAGTCCGGTCCATCCTCTCTATCACCCCGTTTTGTTTTGGTGTCTCTCAAATCTTGAAGTGATGCTCTATCCCAATTCTCTTGCAATCTTGCAAGAAAGCATCTGAAGTGTATTTGCCCCCATTGTGATTTGATACAACAGATTTTTTTATCAGTTTGAGTCTCAATCCACTTCTTCTAAGTCATGAAAATCTCCAACACTTCGTTTTTAAGTTTCATGGTATACATCCAAACATACTTGCATTAATCATCAATAAAAGAGACAATATATTTGCTCGATGAATGATGTTGTCTTCGTTGAGCTCCAAACATCTCTGTGAACATGCTCTAATATATTTCTTATACTGTGAATGACGGTGTCAAAATTTGCTCATGTCTTCTTAACAAATACACAATATTCACAAAAATCAAGCATGCAGATGCTCGCTCCTTTGATCAATCCTTTCTTCACCAAAGCTTGAAGTGAAGCCTCTCCAGCATGAGCTAGCCTCATATGCCACAACAAAGTAGTGTCAGAAAAATTATCAGCAACAGTAGTCATTTCAATCATTGTACTACCCTGAAGATAGTAAAGATTGTGATGATAAACTCCCTACATAAAAACCATTATTCCACGACATATCCTTTAAACTCCTACCTCAATACTTACCTTGTAGCCCTTGAACTCTAAAACCCCAACAGACAGCAAATTCTTCGTGATATCTAGAAGATATTTAATATTAGTGAGCTTTCACACAGTATTATCATGCATCCTGATAAAGATACTCCCTACACCAATAGTACGGCAAGTTTGATCACTACTACACCACTATTTAACTCCTTGCACGTACAAAAGCCTCCTGGGACAAATGTGATAGGTAGCACCTGTGTTCAAAATACAACATGAATTTTATGAAAACAAACTGTGAGAAATTGCAGATAACGATACATCTGAATCCGCCTCTTCACATCTTTCCACACTGATATTGATTTTTGTCTCGCATGCAACATTTTTTCCCTTCTCCTTCAACTTCAGAATCTTTCTTCCAATGATCAGTCTTAAACAAAAAATACATTATTTTTTTTCAATATGGCACCCACGAGACTTGCCCCGCTTTTAAGAAGTGTATTCGTTGTCACCTTTCTTCTTCAAATATTTTTTCTTCTTCTCAAAACTGTCGCATTATATGTGTAAGTGTCTTAGCTAACTACATCTTTGTGAACTTCTTGTCAAATCTTTTTTCTTCTTCTCAAATCAGTCACATTAGATGTGTAAGTGTCTCAGCTGATTACATATTTGTGGACTTTTTGTCCCTTCGAAGGAACTCATGATTCAACAATGTCTGAGTCACTTCGTCATAATTCAATATCTCATTCTCATGAATGAGTGTCATAGTGAAATTTTCATACTCATCTGGGAGTAAATTCAACAGAATGAGTGTTTTATCTTCATCTCCAACCTCCTCATCAAAATTTAACAAATCTGCTAACAATTTTGTGAAATCATTCAAGTACTTATCAATAGTAACCCCCCATCTCATTTGAAATTTATAGCGTTGACGCTTCATATAGAGATGTTTATACATGCTCCTCATATGATATTTATACTACAACATCTTCCACAAGTTTTCTGCAGAAGTCTTCATCATCAACCTATATTTGATATCCTGAGTCAAACAATTTTGAATCAATTTACAATCACTCTGGTTTTCAACATCAACCAATTTCTCTCTATCATCTCTTCACAGCATTGCTTGTTATTCAGGGCATTCTCTAGATTCAGAGAAAACAATACATCCATTACACATCGGCCCATGCCTAAGTTTCATTTTTCATCAAATTTCGTTATATCAATTTTGGTGGGATGCATAACCGTTTGATGAATCGATTTTTTCAGTGTTATAGTAAACATTGAAGAATCTAACATCATGCTAAATCATTGATTGATCCAATGTTGAAATTTTTTTTTCAAAAAAATTTCTCTAACAGAATACTAGAAAAAAAAAACAAAAAAAAAAATCACCTAAAAAAAAATAAATTTCAGAAATATATATATATAACAGAAATATATATATTTATGAAATTACAGTTCCTGAATCGGAATTCCCTTAAAACTGAAATTCCTTCTGCCTTTTTAAAAAAATTTCCTTTCCTCTGTTATCCACACAACCCACGCGAAGCTTCCTCTCCTGTACCACCAGATCCAGCAACCGGACTGCCTGAGCTAGCCAGACCTCGTTGGAGCCCGTCGTCCGACTGCCGGAACCTCTGTCGCTGGATGTCCTTCTGCCGGACCACACTAAACTTCGCCGGAACCGCGCCGAACGGCGTCTGTTCCACGCTGGAGCCGCCGCCGGCTCCTGTCTAAACATCGGAACCACCGCCTGAAACCGCCGAATCTGTGGGCAAAGAACCTACGACCACCTGCTGCAAAAAAAACTCCTACAACGCCTGCTGGATTTGCTACATTCGAAGTCGAATCACGCTCCGATGACGAACCCAAACCTCTAATACGAGAAAAAAATACAAAAATATCAACTTAATTCGCCTATGTCAACTCAACGGGAAGGAAGATTTCACTAGCACTAGCACTAGCACTAGATAAAAAACAAAGCTAGAAATTACAGCTCCTACACATCTAAACATACATCTTTCATAAGCCAGAAGTCCTTTTATAAAGAAGGATTAGAATATATAAGTACATAAACTCATAAAGATAAGATTGCCCCTAATTTAGAACAAGCCATGAAGACAACATGTTTTGATGTGAACATAACACTTAACTATTATATAATTAAATATGAAAACTTCGTTGTTAGATAAGTAAACACATAAGAACTACACGGTATATATGTAAATTCTCAAAATAGAAGGTATCTCGGACAATCATTTTAGTGGCAAAAACTTGACAAAAGTGTAATTGAGGAAAAATAACACACCTGCTGAGAAATCGAAGTTAATGGACACTTTATCATCATGCTTTGTGAGGTGAAAACCATTTGGGGTTTCAGTCGCAAAGGCAAAGAGGAGCTTCTTCTCGGCAACAGGAGCTAAGAATTTCAACTGAAATGCAAAATAGATGCTGGAACCGTAAAGAAGAACGGCAGGCTTAACGGCAGTTCGCAGCAAACGGCCCTCATTTACAAGAACCTGAGAAGAAGACTGGCCGCGGAGATAGAACTGTCTGATATGTGCTTTGCCTGCTCTTCCAATCCAGCCAACCATCGCACTGGAGCCAACCATTAGTCCATCATTGGAAAATCCCATGCCAACCCAGCCGGAGGTATAGGGAGCAGAGAGCACGATGGTCAGAATGTTATCTGGACGCTGGGAGTACTGCAGCATTTGTTGCTTAAAATTAGAATGTTTATGGATGACAACGGCATACAAAAATTTAAGAGAGGGGACAGTAAAAATATATATATATATATAGGAGGAAAGTGTTCTCATATCTTTCTAGGCAAAGAAGAAGACGCCTTGAGTGCGACGAAGCCGAAGGAGATGAAGTTTTTTGTGTGCTTCCTATGCAAAGGAAAGGGAAGCGGGCGGCTAGTGTGCGGTGTCGTCCGAGCTTGTTTTGGGCGACGAAAAGAGGAAGAAGAAGGAGCGGGTCTGCATGGAGGGGGTTCGACCAAAGGAGGAGACGGAACCTCAAAGCCAAGCAACAAAAGATGTCGGGGAGGAAGGACGAAGCTTGTGCGCTAAAGTGTGGGAAAAAGGCTTGGGTGAAGGACCCGAATTAGCGAGCCCGAGCTCACCCCGTGCTCTGTTCTTTAAAAAATACCAATTTGGCTCATTTATATTTCAACCATAAAATTTATTCGTGCTCGGCTCGTTTGTTTAACGAGACGAACATAAGTTATTTGCGAACGAAGAACCGTTTGAACAACCTTAGTCATGTAGCAGCAGTAAGATATTAAGGATAAGAAAAATATTTAAATTTTATTATATACATTAAAACATCATTTGGCTTGTTTATATATCAATAACAAAAAAAAAATGTTTAGGTTCGTCTTGGTTGCTTAGCGAACGAATCAAAAACGAGCTTCTTAACGAACCGAACACAAACTATTCGCGAACAACTAACCGTTTTGACAGCCCTAGCCCAAACTGAAGGCTTTAAGAAATATTAGGATAATTTTTTTTACTTTGGGATTTTAACTTTTATTGAAGTTCATTAATTATTATTTATGAAATAAAAATCAGAAATTTAAAAGTACTAAAAACACGGAATCTTTGAATTGGATTGAGAAAAGTTGGCCACATTAGATGTAAGAGTTTGGAGTTTTCTTGATGTAAGTTATTTTATTTCACTAATAAAATGTTCTTAAGTTATATTAAATTCTATGAATTAATATCAAACAGTTGATTTAAAGGATAAGGGAGATCAAGATCAAAGTTTATGCAAAAGAAGAGGGGATAGGAGGTATAGTTCGAGTTTGCTTTTATTAATTTTATTAAAGAAAAATTTTATTTTTTCAATATTTATTTATGTTGGAAATGTAAGAAATAATTTATAAGCAAAACAATAGATTAAAGAATTTGTAAATGATCATTTCATAAGGTGAAATGAATGCGAGTATTTTTACTTTTAAATTATTGTAATAATATTATTTTTCTACTAAATCACGTATATCACAATGATATTAGTCAAAATACATTAGTACTATAAGTAGAATATATTTATTCATCCTTACTAATCAAAATAATCATATAAGAAAAGAAATGTTAAGGAATTAAAAAAGAAAATTGTTGAATGATAATTAGAATGTAAATGAAATGATTTATAGTATGTTTGCATGTACATATAGCTATGATAGAATCACGACTTTATGATACTAACAAGTGAATGCTAAGATACATGAGCATGTAATTAGAAAAAGATATTGATTGTGATATCCTTAATTGATACAATTTTGGACGATACTTCTATGATAATTGTATATAAAATAATAATGATATTAAATGATAATGTAAGATATAATTAAATATTTTGATCGATCATATTCATAAATATAAAATGCCAAATGCTATTATACTGATTTAGTAAAAATCTAAATGACATTCATATTATTTTATTTTTTCATTGTGTTATTATAGTTTAGGAGTAATGATATTCACTTATTTGTTAGCTCGTTTTATTTTAAAATAAAATTTAAAATTTAAAATTTCAACGTAAGAAAATGAGTAATAGAGAAGGAAATATACACAAAAGATGTAAACAACCAAAAGGTAAATTCAATTGTATTACTCCAATTTAATAGACTATTTCACTTTGTTCAGATTATAAATTATTAGTTATCGAAAATGGGGAAAAAAAAAGTAAAGATTTAGTTCAAATAAAGCGTATTAAAGATGAAAATAAATAAAAAATATTTTACTTAAATAAAGATATTCAACATAAGTGGGTGAGCTATTTTGATAAATTTTTCAATGATTTTTCTGAAAATATGATGAGCTTCCGTGATCTTAATATTGTCAATAATATTAAAATATTTTATTTTTAACATCACATTAGTAAAAAAGAAATTGTGAAAAATCAGTTGGACCACACCTGATGATATCCCAAATCAAAATTCATAGTAAAATCCAAATCCATAATTTTCATTTTTATCAAATTTTCAATAGTCTAATCCTCACAAGCAAAAATACATTGGTTCCGTGGTTAAAAAAATCACTAATTTGTAAATATCATGAAGCGTAAATACAGGCTCTAAAAATTGACACACCCGAAGGGAATCAATCTAACTTCTAGGTTTAAGCTACAAAGGACAAGGACATTACCCTTAGGATGAAGCTGTTCCAGATGGCGCGGCAGGTGAAAACGGAGGCATTGAACGGAGGGGGGAGAAGAATGGCCACATCGGAGTTGCAGCTATCGAACTGACCGCTTGCGGTGGATATCACGGCCGCGAAGGCAATAATGGCGGCAAGGAAATCGCCGGCGGCCATCCGAACCAGTATGGATCTGGAACCGGAGCAGAGCATCGCGAAGGAGTTGGAGGGGTTCTCATTTAGAAGAAGAGGGAAAAAATTAGGTTTCGGGAGAAAGGGAGATGAGAGTGAAGCGGTTGTTGGGTTGCCGTCGCTTGCGCTTTAAGGCAGAGCAATTTTAAGATGCTGGTTGCAGGAGTTGGCGGGAGCCTGTCTCGATTATGGCTAAAAATATTACATCACTACCACGCACGTAAAAAAAACGTGCATAGCCAATCAAATCACGTCACGACATCTCGTGCGACAGAGCAAAAAAAATGTCGCAGTAACACGGGGAATATTCCCCCCTGTGTTATTCATTTGTTATTGTGCGTTATTCATGTGTTATTGCGTGTTAATCATGAGTTATTGATGTGTAATTGTGTTATTATAACCCCAAGAATATTATCAAGACACAATAACACATGAATAGTACACAATAACACTTGAATAACACAGGAAATATTCCCGACAGAGAGAAAAACGGCGCAGTAACTCAGAGGAATATTCTCTCTCTTGTTATTCTAATGTTATTATGTGTTATTCATGTGTTATTATGTTATTATAACACCAGGAATATTCCCATGACATAATAACACATGAATAACACGAAGGGGGGAATATTCTCCGTGTTACTACGCCATTTTTTTTATGTGTCGCGCGGGGTATCGTGGCGTGATTTCATTGGCTACGCACGTTACTTTACGTGCGTAGTACTGATGTAATATTAGCTTTTCCGGTTTTTTTGAATGATGGGAGGAGGGTTAATTATATTAGGTTTTCTTAAGCTGTTTAAATCTTGAGAAAAAAAAAACATTTGATTGGAAACTTAGGGGTTTTAATAGACTCGTTTGAAATTGCTCATGATCTAAATCGACTCATGTTTGTCTAAATCGTCTCATGTTTGAAATTATCTCGTGAATAGTATGTTTTTGTTCGGCTCGAAATCGAGTCGATAAAATTAATTCATAAAAATAGATGTAAAGTATTGAAATTAACCCCCTGCTGCACAAAAAAAAAAAAAAAAAAAAAAAAAACATAACTACAATACTACACAAGTTATTATAATTTAAACTTAGATATAAATATATATAACATATAATTATATAAATAATAAATATGATATATTATTATATAAATAATTATATCCATTTTTTTTTAATTTCGAGCAAAACAAGTCGAACAGAGCGAACAAAGAGTTGTTCGTGTTCGACTCGATTATAATTCGAGCTTAAAAAATTGTTTGTGTTGGGCTCGTTTACTCAACAAACGAGCCGAGCACGAGCTGTTCACGAACAACGAACTTTTTTGACAATCGTATTTGTTAAATTTATCTATGAATTTAACTTAAATCGAGTCAAACATAAAAAATAAAAATTAAATTCAACGATTTGTTAAATCAAAATTTCTCTCGTTTCGTCTCTCTTCCTTACATTCTATTTACTTTATGATATAAATCCTAATTTTTTAAATCCAGTGACGGGAATGACGGGGTTTCTTTACAAGACTTGTTCGGTCATCGCTCATCATCACGCAGAGGATTTGATAAATCTGAATTTTCTAGATTTGTTAAATCATATTTAACATAAAACCTAGTCACAACCAAACACCGCCTTAGTATATATTAATTTCTAGGGACATATATAGACCTACGAAAGACATTTATATATATATACATTACATATCTAATGCAGAAACATTCATATTTATATGCATACCACTAGAATTTTTAATATCACATCATTAAAAAAAAAAAGGCACTGTCACTATTTTATTAAAAATGAAATACACAATTTCATACTAAGCTATATGACACCAAAATAGCAAGGTTGTGAAGATCGGACATCGAACCCAAAAAAAATAAAGGTTCAAAGTTGGCTTGTTGAGCTAGGGTTAAACCAGAGATTGATCCGAATGATGTAATAAATATATAAAATATTTCACTATAATTTAAATAATAGTGTAATTATATATTAATATAATTTTTTTATCGATTGAACAAATAATATATCAATTTAGGACAATATTTTTTTAATATTTTGAATAATATTCTAAATAAAAATTTAAGACATTCTATTTTCTCTATTTTTAATTTGGATATCTTATTTATGACCCTCCGATCAAAATCAAATGATTAAAATTGGTTGGACACTATTTACACCAACCAATTTTTTAAAAATCGGAGCGAGTTCAACCCTGGATCTCTGTTTCTAACCAATTCAATCTTGGTTGTATGCAGAAACGGTTCTGAATTTGGACCGAGCCAATTGAACGACACCCG